ACCTGAGCCAAAGTCAGACGCTTAACCGCCTGAGCCACCCAGGCACCCTCTTGATATTTCTTAGTTTGAGTTTAATCTCATAATTTCTTCTTCTTAACTTGCCATATACCCCTAGACATTAATCAGGTTTTCTTGATAGTAAGCTGGAAGTCTTTGACAGATTTCTGATGCCTGAGTGATAATCCTTCCCATTGGTCACACCAGTCTCTCTGGTTTTGAAAAGTGTTTGATTTATTTTAAACAATTTCCATTGCCTTCATTTGCACTTCCTAGCACAAGACAGAAGTCTTATGTGCACAATATAACATTGTTTCAGATCTACATCCTAGTATAGTCTTTAAAGGCTCAGTGGGTAGTTAGAGCATGTGACTCTGGATTTCACAGTCGTGAGTTCGAGCCCCACATTGGGCCTGGAGCCTACTTAAAAAAAAACAAGAAAGCATTTGAAGTAACAATTAGGAAGGCAAATAGAAGTTAAAATATAACTAGGTATGATGTAAATAATTCAGCTGAGGCAACGGTCAGATTAATAGGTCCTTCCTATGTATAGCTAGATTCCTACATAACAGGTGATAAGAACTTTTTTTATTTTAAGACCCATCCCAGATCTCAGAAGTATTTAAACATGAGAAAAATAAATGGAGACCTGAGAAATAAGTGTGTTTATTTGGGCAAAGAGTAAGAGGGGAAGTATTTTCTGTCGAGGAGAGGGCATATTCCGTACATGTGTTAGCATGTGAGAGTAGACCATGTTACAGGACTGAAGAAGTGCAGAGTGACTGGAATACAGAGGGTAGAAAGCTCTGGGACGTAGAAAAGAAGGAGGACTTAGTCCTGCTGTGTGGGGTCCTGGCAGGGTGAGCTTCTTATAAACAGTGCTATTTGAGTTGGGTGGGAACTGGGTGAGATGGGTGCGAGTTCCCAGGACTGTGTTGAGGCTAGGAAGGGTATTTAAGGCATAAGCGAGGATGTTGAGGTAACTCTTCACTCTGAGCTCTAAATACGAACATTGTCGAAGTCTTATCCTTTTTCCACCCACAGTTTGGTTTTGTCTCACCTGTAGGCTGACGAATTCATCCGAGCAAATGCCACCAACAAACTAACAGTCATAGCTGAGCAAATCCAGCATTTACAAGAACAAGCCAGGAAGGTGAGTAACACGTAACAGCTTTTAGGTAGGGACTCCTTTTCCTCATTTAATTCACAGGTCTGCCTGGTCTTGCTTATAATCGTTAAACTGTTTTGTCTTCCTTATAATCGTTAAACTATTTTGTCTTCAGGACCTCCTAGAAATATAGAAGTGTTGAGCAAAATAGAGTAAGCCCAAGAAGTTAGGTATGAGGTAAGCTTTTTCACTGGGAGACAGTTTCAGTGAAGTAAAGCATTTTGAGGGGAAAAACATGTTCTCAGTTTTAAAAGAAATGTACACACTGCAGAAAAATAGGAAAGAAATTTAAAAGGCACTCAAAGCCAGTGGTGTTCACCAATGCAATTCTTCTAAAGGCATTTTTACAGTCTAGTAGCATAGTCTAATTTTTGTCTCCTCAGAATCATCTGGGTCCTAGTAGTGACTGTGTGCTATGGGGGAGCAATTCCTAAGCATTGATTGGGATAATCACTGAGTGTGCCTGTTATGTCCAATACTAAATTTGTTACATCTCTGTGGTTCTTAGGTACTGGAAGATGCTCGCAGAGATGCCGACTTGCACCATGTAGCTTGTAATATAGTAAAAAAACCTGGCAACATTTATTACCTTTATAAACGGGAGAGTGGTCAGCAGTATTTTTCTATTATTTCTCCAAAGGTAAGAACATGTATTTTTGCGCAGAAATCTACTCTGGTCTTTGAGAAACTCTTGGCATATGTGCGTGAAGATGTAGGCATAAGGGTTTGTAAATGGCCTTCTAGAAAATTGGAGGTTTTCGTGAGCCCTGGCATGACTCTTAAAAAATATACATGAAAAATACAAATTATCTCACAGTCATTATCTCTGTTAAGGGAGGTATCTGATGTGTAATGCAGTGAGGATGATTCTGACTGGTCTGAAGTGAAAACCCAAAAAAGAAATTTGTGGCATACAGTGAGGAAATGAGGGGAGCCTGGGTGGCTCAGTGGGATAATGATTCTTGGTTTTGGCTCAGGTTATGATCTCACTGTTTGTGGGTTCAAGCCCTGCATCAGGCTCTGCACTGACGGCTCTGGAGCCTGCTTGGGATTATCTGTCTCCCTCTCTCTGTGCCCTTTCCCCGCTTGCTCTCTGTCTCTCTCTCTCAAAATAAGTAAATAGACAATTTAGAAAATGAGGAAATAAGCTCAATTTCTTTACCTTCTACCCTGATGAGAACTGACTCCTTTGCCTTCTTTAGGAATGGGGGACAAGTTGTCCACATGACTTCCTTGGCGCCTACAAGCTCCAGCATGACTTATCCTGGACTCCGTATGAGGATATTGAGAAGCATGATGCTAAAATCAGCATAGTGGACAGGTTGCTAAGCCAGCCAGCGGCCCTGCCTCCAAGCACTGAACCCGCCTTCCAGGGACTGACTGACTGAGAGAGGTCTCTGACAAACAGCTCTCACAGCAAGGACTTACCACTATCACCTCCTTGTTGCCCTCATTTTCTGCGTTGATGGGAGGGGGCATGAGAATTGAAGTCTTGTGGGGGGAATCATGCACTTCTTGAAACGAGACCCTGTGTGCATATAAATGCTGTCGTAATTACTTTCAGTTCCGATGGTAATGAATCATACCAGACCCAACCAGTCACTTTCAGAGTACTGGCCAGTGTACTTTCCTTCTCCTTTATCTCCATCTGTTCTCCCGTAAGTCAGAGCATTGGAGGAAGAGGGGTGTCTTCTACCCACATAAAGGTTGGCGAGGCATTTTCCAGAGAGGACTGTTTTTAGTCTTTTTGTAACTGGAAGTGTTTGAGATTGGGTTGAGGTTGAACATAGGGGGGAAAGAGACAGAGAGAGAGGCAAACCATAAAACAAACTTTAACAATAGGGAACAAACTGAGGGTTCATGGAGGTGGGTTGGGGATGGGCTAGATGGGTAATGGGGATTAAGGAGGGCACTTGTGATGAGCACTGGGTGTTCTATGTAAGTGATGAATCACTAAATTCTACTTCTGAAACCAATATTACATGATATGTTAACTAGAATTTAAATAAAAACTTGAAACTTAAAACAGATTGGGTTGAGGCTGTTGAGCAGTTAGTGTAGCTCCAACTTCAGATGCGTCTGGGAACAGGAATGTTGCGTAATGGAGGATGATGAACAGCTCGGCTTGCCTGGACTAGACAGTGTGTGATTCTGGTATTTTTGCACTCTTGCGGAAGTGTGGCTTGCCTGTTTTGCTCTTTCTGCCTACTTTGAGTGACTGGAGATTCTGGGGCAGCAACAATGGACAGGTTTAGGGAAGGTCTACCTGTAACCTCACAGAATTCTAGACTTGGAAGAGATGTGGGAGGCTGCCGCGGACCACTGTATGGATCTGTGCTGTAGCCTTGCTGAAGAGGAGCTCCAGAGTTTAGCCATCTGCAGCAGGCCAACTCCATTTAAATGGCAACTTCAAACTATTGTGGAAGAGGGGCAGTGGGTGAGAAACAAGAAAAAGAGCCAACCTGTTGATCATGAGTTAATTCAGATTGAAACTGATTTTGACCTGAATTACCCAATAATTTAGCAGAGGCTTTTTAGCTGAGTTCCTCTAGTTCTCATTCTGACTAGACTCTTGTGGGACTCTACCTCACCTCGTGTGTTCAGTGGAATTAACTGAATTTACAGCATATGCAGTGTGGCTGTACTTCAGTGCCATATATCTTATCACAGTCTGCTGTAACCACAGTTGCCCAAGTTCCTTTCTGGGTATGGATGTCTCTTGTGCTGATCTGCTTGGTAATATCCTAACCCCATCCTAGTTTTCATGGCCTTTCCTCATAAGGTGTATTTCTTGTTAGCTGTAAAATGGTCCATGAAGGCCTCACACAGAATGGGGCTAGAACCTGACAGGGCCACCCAGGTGATACTTGGTCATTCGTTTCATGGGGGGATGCTCTGTGGGGTCAGCTGCAAAAGCCTCTGATGGAGATGGTGTAGGGGACACACAAACACACACACACACACACACACACACACTTTAGTGGTATAATAGTTGGTTATGTAAGTTTCCCAGGTTTTCAAAAGGTCCTGACCTGCATGGTAATGACACATTCTGAGTAGGTGTTTATTAGTTATCTGTTGCTGCATAAATTACCAGAAACTTAGTGGCTTAAAACAACACACATTTATGATTTCATAGTTTCTATGGGTCAGGAGTTCAGGCACACTTAACCTGGGCCCTCTGCTTCAAGGTTTTTCACAGGCTGCGTTCTGATTATTGGCCAGGACTGGGTTCTCATCTGAAGGCTGGAGAAGGGTCTGTTTCCAAGCTAACTTAAAATTTGGCCCAATTTTAATTCCTCCTGTTGGACTAACATTGTTAATTCTGTTTACCAATAGACTATTAACCAGAAACTGACTTCAGTTCCTTGCCACATGGGTCTCCCCAACATGGCAACTTTCCTTATCAAAGCCAACAAGGATGAGTCTGCCAGCAGGATGGAAGTTACAGCTTTGTGTATTCTAATCACGGGAGTGACATCTCATGCTTTTGCTGTATTCTGTCCATTGGAAGCAAGTCCTAGGCAAGCCCACACTCAAAGGAGGGAATTAAACGAAGGCGTGAATACCAGAAGGCAGAAATCATCAAGCAGATCTTAAAATCTCTGCCACAGTGCTTAGCTGAGAGGGAGAAAAGAAGGTTCTTGGGTAAAGGAGGCAGTATTACAAAGTGGTTAAGCATGGTAGTGGTAAAGTCACGATGGGAACTGGACTCTGCTCTGACAAAATAACTTCCCCAGGTAGCATCCCTGCTTCCTCCTGTATCCCGTCTCCAATCCATTCTTCAAAAAATCATCAGCTTGATCTTTTTAAAATCCAAATCTCCCTCACTCTTTACATTTCCTAGCCACTCTAGAGCAAAAAAGAGAGCAGTGGTTAAAAAAAAGTTCTTCTGTTCAATAAGGTGCGTTCCCTGCACTGACCACCAGGTAGTGCCATTGCTCTTTGGTACTTCTGCCAATTACCAAACTTCGGGAAAGTCCGTGGCAATGTGAAATGACTTTGGAGGTAGCACCTCTGAGTAGGGATCTAGGACCCCTTGGTTATATACAGTAACCACTTTTCATTCACCCAACCATCTACCCATTCAACGATTTTAGAAGTATTAAGTGCCTTCTAGGTTCCATGTTCTGGAGAATAACACAGCTGAATAAAACAGGCACCTATTCCCAAGAAGCTCACAGTCTAGTAGGGGAGGAACCAAATCAACAATTACAGTGTGGTATAAAAAAGACTATGATAGTGGCATGTAGGATATGGAGCACCACGAAAGGATACCTAACGGCTTGGAGAATTTAGGAAGACTTTGTGGAAGAGCAGACACCAGCTTATGTGTTGAAAAACAAGAGTTAGAGCTTGTTTGGACACTCTCACCTGTCCTCTAGAAAAAGATGTCTGGAATTTGGAGTAGGGTTCATTTTTGGATGTTTGTTTGTGAGTGAAGAAAGGGATATCCATTTTAACAAGCCATGTCCACCAAACTAGTCCTGGCAGTCAGGAGGGCTAGAGTGAGGTACGACCTGGCTAGAAAACTCTTTCTCCTCCTCCTCCTTCTTCAGAGAGAGGGGGAGAGAGAGAGGAGAGAGAGAGAGTACAGGGGATGGAGGGGGAAGAAGAGAGAGAATCTTAAGCAGGCTCCATGCTGAGCCCCCGACGTGGGCTTGATCCTACAACCTTGAGATCATGACCTGAGCTGAAATCAAGAGTCGGAAGCTCAACTGACTGAGCCACCCAGGTGCCCCTAGAAAACTCTTACTTCTAGTAGCTAAGAGATAAGTAGATGAAGAAGGGGAGGAAAAGCAATTCCAGACTAGAAGCAATATGACATCTGGAAAATTTCAGCCAGTTTAAAGTGAAGAATGTGGGCCAGGGGCTATGGGAAAAGGGTTAATTGAAAGATTTGGGGGTACGTAGCTGGCAATATTGGCCTTTTAGAAATCTGTTCGGGCGTTAGAAGATGAGGGAAGACCATTAGGAGCTTCCATCCCTAGTCCAGGCAAGAGAGGACGGAGGCCTGAACTAAGGTAGCAGTGATGGAATGAGATATATAATTTCATCAGTTGTAAGGTGTACTTTTCTTCCCCCACGTTTTAATATCTCTGAAACTCGGATGCTTCTAAAAGTCAGTGGCACGTCGTAGTTTAAGTGGCAGCACTTTGTCCTTTCTCAGAGCTGCATAACATAATGCCGTGTCTTACAATGGTTGGGGTCTTGGATTTGATAAAGCTTGGCATTTTGAAGGTACAATAGATTGCAGCTTGTTAAATAATAAGATGTCGGGGGATGAGTGAGAAGAAAGTCTTAGGTAATGCTTGAATTTCTGGCTTGAATGCTGATACGGACGTTGGGGATCCACGCAACAAAATACGGAAGTGGAAGACATCCTGATATTTCCCAGAATAATGAGCAATCTGTGTTTGCTTTATTAATCCACCATGCTGGTCCTGTCCAGGTTCACTAGGTGTGAATAGCAGCTGACTGTACTTGTCTCTCTCCACCCTAGCTGTCTGGAAGGAGGTTTGCTGGGTCTTAACCTTCTCAAGTTATCAGTCAGTCCACCAGTATTGGGAGTATTGGTATCGTAGATGCAAAGATGACAAATACTGCTTAGTGAGCTTTTATTCTGCCAAGCATATCCATTACCTGATTGAATTTTCATATAACCAACTATCTATGAGGTATATTGTATTCCTGTTTTAGAAAATGGAAACATCTGCTCAAAGATTAAGCAACAGGCCCATGGTTATAGTGATAGAGAGTGGTATGGCTCAGACTCAAACCGTCCTGTTGGATTCAAGTCTGAGCATAACCAGCCCTAGAGGATCCTGACATAGAGGTGTAAGAAAGTTAAATACCAAAGCGACGGAGGAAGATGTGCATATGGGATACCATAGGAGTAGTTCACTGGGATGTGTAGTGATGAGCACACAGGGCATGTATATCACGGCCCGGAGAAGTTAAGTAACTTACCTAAGGACATAACTCATAAGCAGTGGAGCCCATGTTCCTGGCACTAAAAGCCTGTGCAAACCCCCCAGGCACAAGATAGGGTTCATCCCCTTAAAGAGCTGGAGATTGAGAGGAAGGAGCTGCTAAGTGCCTGGAGTGATTATTTCTAAAGTACCTTTGATTCAGTGGACCAGCCTCTAGTTGAAAGCTTTTGTCTTCATTTTGATTTGGAATATTACCATCTCCTGCTTTTTTCTAACCTCACTGACTACACCTTTTCTGTCTCCTGACATCTAGCTTTTGGATTGCTCTAGGGCCTATTCCTTAGCCCTCTTTTCTATTAGGTGATCTAACCCATTCCCACGGATTACATACCCCCCATATGCTGTTGACGCACTTACATGTCTCCAACCCTGCTCTCTCCTGAGCTTCATGCAGA